ACGGAGCGGTTGCACGGCTGGGCGTCCAATGCCTGCTTCCACCGTACCGTCTTGGCCGTGCGGTTGCATCGAGCACAGCGGGCCGTGTGGCCGTTGGCATCGTAGACCCACTCGTGCTCCGTGAGGAGCAACGCCGGAGCCTGCGGCAGTGGCTTCGGCACCCGAGGGGCAGCCGCAGGAGGGCCCCAGCACTGCAGCTCCGATATGCGCCTCGCCGCCCACGCGAAAAATCGCGATGCGTCCAGTGCCTGCTCGAGCCGCAGCTGCAGCCCACGAGAGAAGCAATGTGGCAAACGGATCCTCTCCACGGCAAGGGCCGCGAACCAGTCGGCCCAGGCGTTCCCGACCCAATCGATCAGTGGGACCCCACGCTCCATGGCCTCTTCGGCGCTGAGGTGCGACGGCACCCATCGGAAGTCTGGCGGCGCCCCCGTGGGCCGCCGGTCCACTACTCGGCGGATGTCCTGCCAAATGCGGCCGTGCCGCCCGCGTGCCTCCCCATCGGCAGGGCTCCAGCGCAGGCCCTCGTGCACGAAGCAGAGGTGGTCGGACACGATGCATTCGACCAGATGCCCGTCGCGCAGCACCGACCGGCCAGCGTACCGCTCCGCCTGCGCCACGGTCTGGAAACGGCCAGGGAGGCTGCCGTATCGCGCTCGCAGCGGCCATCCCGACGGTGAGATCATCACCACCGCCCACGCGCACCGCGTGACCTTGGGCGCGTTGGCGGCGTAGGCGGAACCATCAGGGTAAACCGTGCCGTGCCAAGGAAGATCGGTGAGACCCCAATCGAAAACCGCCTCGCGCCCCACCTGCGGCATGGCCTCGGGCGGCGGCGCCAGGGGGATGCCGTGTCCCGGCAGGGGCCTTCTGGCGCGCGCTCACCCGCTTCAGTGAGGCGCTGCCGAGTCGCCGCCAAGCTTTCAGTCAGCGGCGGCTCCTCTTCGTCCTCAGCCTGGCTGGCGAGGCCGGGGCACTCGCACCAGCAGTGCGCGAATGACTCGACGGGGGCCTGGCAGCAGAGGCATTCTGGGCTAGGAGCTAGCCCCTGGCGGTGGCGGCGCTCGCGCGGCCAGGATCCGCTGGCCCAGAGCTCGATCAATGCGCCGCGCGAGGCAGGCGAGCCCGCGGCATGCTTGCCACCGTTGCAAGCACGGGCCGCTCGCGGCCAGACCTGTTCACCAGCGTGCTCGGGGAGGTGCGCCAGCCCCTGGCTGAATTGCCAGCTCTGCACTCCTTCGACGAGGCGCTGCCGCACATCTCGAGGTGCCTCCACAAGGAGGGAGAACGTGTCACCGCAATCGTCCTGGACGAGGTGCGCCGACAGCATCTGCCAGCCCACGCGCCGGAGCGTCAGCCAAACGGCGGCGAGGGGGCCCTGGGCACGGTCCCATTACGGCTGGGCCTCCAGGGTCTTGTGGATAATCTGCCAGGCCCGCTCCAGCGGGCCGAGGGCCCCTCGCCCACCCCAAATCCAGCTGGCGTAGCGAACGACGATGGCAACCGTCGCCTCGAACATGGGATCAAGTTGAAGCTCGGGCTGCAACGCCAAAGTCATGCTGAGGCTAGCCGAGGGCCGGGCGCTGGCCAGGTAGCCTGCCAGCGCCCTCGCTTGTCGCAGGGTCCCGTCGGCCACCCCGCTGACCCCAGCCCCGTGGAGTGTGGCGGGGACGAGGCCCGTCCTGACAAGTCGCCGAGCCTTGCGACCGACGACCTGTTTCAACACCTTGAGCTTCCCACGGCGTGCCACCGCCTGCGCAGTCCGGTCCTTCTCTGGGTGCCGCCGCGGGCGGCCGCTGGCAAGCTCATGCCCCGAACTGCGCATCCACACGTGCGTCGCAATATGAAATCGCCGTGCCACGGGCCGAAACGCGCGCTGCACAGCAGCACGATTAGCGACCATGCCGAGCTTCTGCACGTTCAGCGGGAGCTTGGCAGCGCCCAGCTCCGAGATGAGGTCCTCCACGACGGGGCCGAGCTCGGCGCAGCAGTCCTTTGTGTCCCCCATTCACTTGACGGTGAGGTCGTCCACAAATTGTCGTGGAGTGACCACAGCGGTACCAGGGGCGTGGGCACCAGCGCGGACCACGGCACGGTACGTCAGGCCGCATGGCATCGTAGTCGCATGGCCGCAGCCCGCCACGATGCTTTAGGTGTCCAAGACCATCCGAGACGTGCTGTTATGGGCCACGATGTAGCGTGGTTGCGCATACGTCTCGATGAGCATCCAGACCAGCCGCGGCCGCATTCCCAGTTCCAGCGCCTCCAGGAGCAGCAGCTCGGGCACGACCATCTCGAACGTCTTCCACACGTCGAGCAGGACGGTGATGGAGACGAGGCCCAAGGAGGACGCGATCTCAACGTCAAGGTTGTGTGCAAACGCGGAGTCCGATGACGACCGCCCTGAAGCGTTTCCCCAAACATGGTCCTCCATGCCTTTGCCTCCCCCCTCTCCTCCTGTCGCTGTTTTCTCCTCTTCCCCCTCGGTCCTCCTCCTCCCCCCCTCCTCCTCCTCCTTCGGGAGCCGGGCGCCGGGCGCCAGGGACCCTGCAACCCAAAGGGCAGTCGGCTGCGCCGCAAGCCCGGCCGAGCCAGTCCTTTCCGAGGCACGTTCGCTCCTCCCTCCCCTCCTCCTCCTCCTCCTCCTCCTCCGCCTCCTCCTCCTCCTCCTCCTCCTCCTCCTCCTTGCCCCAATCGGTGGCGGGAGTTTCGGCCGCGCTTTCCGGTCAGCTTCTGACAGCTGATTTCGGAGCGCATTTGGCGTGTCGTGGCCTCCCCGTTTGGAGTTGGGAGCGTATCTGGGACAGTGGTTGCGGATACCAGATTGGAGGTGCACATTGGTCCTCCATGTGGTCGTGCTCCCACTCGCTGGAGAGGGGGCGCCGTGCCCGAGACCGCCAGCGGACCATCGAGCGCAGCAGGCCGATGAGGCGCAGCCCCCCGACCTTCTTGGGCAGGCGCACGAGCGCGGTGGCCACTCGCTGCGTCGGCCAAGCCAGAAGCCGTTCGCAGGCGGCGAATAGTGAGCTGACCACCTCAAGACCCTCGTCCGACAGGTGGCTGAACATCTTCGGCGGAATGCCCGCGGGGCCCAAAGCTACCCTCGCAGGGAAACTTCGCGCTGCGCGACGAAGCTGGCCAGTTCGCTGTCCGCGAGCTGGAAGGGCTGCGCGCCCTGGTCGGCGGCGGTGGGCAGCTCGAGCCTGGGCCAGAGCTTGCTAGACCGATGGGCTGCGCCCGCGCCATCGTCGAAGGCACGGTGGGCCCAGCTGCGCCCGGCGCCGTCAGCGGCGCGCTGCGCCGCCTTGCCTTTGACATCCGCTTGGCGGAGGAGGTCGGCAGCGGCGGCGTCAAAGTCCACGTCGTCAACCCTTGCGAAGCCCTCAGAGAACAAAGCCGCATGCAGGGGACTCAAGTGCTTGAGGAGGCCCCGTTGCGTCCGACCCTGGCGAAAAAAATGTACATGTCCGTTACGGTCTGGCCCACCCCACGCATGAGCTTTGGCGACGCAGCATCGCCTAGCTCGGTGATCTTGGCCATGCCGTCGACGAGGCATGACCGCGCGCTCAGCAGATGGGGGGCCCAGCGCGCAGCAGCCGCCCAGGCAGACGCTTCGGGGCCAAGGCGCGCGCGGCGCTGAGCGGGCCCCCACTCGACCTTCGCTCACTTTCGCCTGAGCGGGCTGGCGCGCCCACGGTAGCCCTTGGCACGGGCGCACGCGATGTCGCAGCGGTCAAGTAGCTCGCCTTCGACGCCCTCCAAGACGGCGCCCCACGCCAGCGCCAGGCTGGCGTCATCGACGGCTGTATCCACTAGTCGTTGGGCACCCTCCCAGACACGAGGAAATCGCGTGCGCACCCCAGAGGAGGGGCGGCTGCAAGCCAGCGTGGCTCTTGAAGCTGACGTCGCCACAGGACGCGGTCCTCCGCGAGGATCGGCAACGCCACAGGCCAGTGCGGCCAGAAATCCGCCTCAATGTCAACGATGGGCGCGGGCGTGACTCTCGAGAGGACCGAGTCGGGCACGATGAAGAAGTCGATCGTTGACCCAGGGAGCTGCTTGCGGCACGTCACACCAGGGGGGTGGAGGGTCTTGGCATTGAAGTTGCACGGCCAGTCATTGCGCAGGAGGTCGGAGGCAGTCATGTTGAAGTCCCCCTCCCCCGAGAATCCAGGTGTGTCCGATCCGCTCAGCGCGCCTCAAGAAAGTGAAGACGTCGCAGAGGTGGGCCGCGCGCTCGGGCGAGAGCCCCTCGCCCGTCCGAACGTAAAGAGACGCGCGCACGATGCCTCCGCGCAGGCCCCAGTGCACCGAGGCGGCCGTGGAGCGACCAGGCAGCAGCGCGCCACCTGGCGCCCCAGGAAGCTCCGTGACCGCGGCGTCCGAGCGAGACAACACGGCAGTGCCGCCGATATTGCCGCCGGCCGAATCCCCGGGAAGGGCGGGCGCCCAGGCGGGCGCCGCGCCAGCCGAGGTCCGTGGCGTCGGCCTCGAAGGGCGCGAGCCTGCCAGGAAGCAGGTAGAGATGCGTCTTGAGGGGGCCGCCATTGGCGATGTTGACCGCGGTCACGGCGGACGTCCAGGTCCGCGGGCTGGCGCCCGCAGAGGGCGGGGGACCCGCGGGTTGCGCCGTGGGCTCGGCGCCGTCAGCGCTGGAGCCCGCGGCGAGCGGCTCTCGCGCCGTTGCTGGCGGTGGCGGCGAGGCGCTGCCGCCTAGCAGCCGGCCAGGCGATGCGAGCGTCGGCCAGGCGCTTGGCGGCAGCTCGGATCTCGTCTTCAGTGCCAGGGACAGTATGGCCAGCAGCCAGGAGGCAAGCCTTGATGTCCTCAAGGTCGTCGTCGTCCTCCATGTCCACGGCCGTGTCCTCGGCCTGGCGCTGCTCCGCTGCGGGCGGCATCGCGGGTGTTGGCTGCGGCATGGCCGCTGCGGTCTTGGCGGCGCCAGCGGCGGCTGCGGCTTCCGCCTGGCGGACGGCCTCAGCAGCGGCGGCCTTGAGCGCTGACACCAGCTGCGAAGCGCGGCCACGCAGCTCCCCAGACGCACCCACGCCATTAAGGTGCTGCTCCAAGGCCTCGGCGGAAACCTCCGGCCCAGGGACGATGTCGCCCAGCACGGGGCCACGCTCCTTTTCGCCTCCCGGCGGCGCGGGGAGTCCTTTGAGGAGTTCGGACTGCTGCTGCTGCTGCTGCTGCTGCTGCTGCTGCAGCTGCACCAACTCAGCCTTCTGAGCGACCAGGCGCTCCTCCAGCACCCTGGCCTCATCCTGGATCCGCTGCGCCGCCTCCAGCTTGGCTGTCAGCGCGTCGTTTGTCTTTTTGATGGCCAGCCCCGCTTTGGCGATTTTGCCGTGCCAGAGCTGCACCTGCGTAGCCGCAGGCTTGTCGTGAAGGTCCTCCAGCAGCAGGCGCGCCTTCTCCTGCTTGAGCTTGTCGAGGGCGGCCACGAGATCGGGCTCTTTGTCCTCCGTGAGCTTCCCGATCTTGACGTCGAGCTCGGCGATGCGAGCCTCGCGGGAAGCGCCGGCGTCGCCGGAGACACCCGCGCCTCCGTTGCTACCTCCGCAGCTGAGGCACCAGTAGCTGTGCCAGAAGACTCCGCAGCAGCCAACTTGCGTTTGAATTCGGCCATCTGTTTCCGCGCGGTGTCCAGCTCCTTGTCGTACTGGGCCTTCTGCGAAGGGGCCGTCGCGACGGACGCGACACTCCTCGAAGGGTGGCCGCCCACCACTTTGCCCATGAACGCCACGCGTTTCGCCAAACTGCAGGAGTTGCACTGGAGCTGGTGTGCGTAGTCGACGTAAGGCGCCCCCTTCCCGTCGCGGCAAATGCGGCATAGCCACTTCGCGCGCATGGCGGGTCGGGAGGCTGCCGCTCAGGTACCTGCACCACGGCCGACGGCCTTGGGCACCATGGCTCGACCAGCAGCTCGGTGCCGTGCAAGGGGGTCGCCCAGGATGGCGCAAAGCTGATGGCCACGCGGGCCGCGAGAAGAAATAGGAGTGCGAAGAGTTTTGGCTCAAATCGCGATCCCTCGCGCTCAAGCCGCCCTCTCGGACTCGCGATCGTCGGGAGTCGCATTGCCTTAAGCCAAACTGGTTACGGATATGTGTGTGTGTGTGCGTGTGCGTGCGTGCGTGCGTGCGTGCGTGCGTGCGTGCGTGTGTGTGTGTGTGTGCGTGTGTGTGTGTGTGTGCGCGTGTGTGTGTGTATGTGCGTTCGTGCGTGCTTGTGTTTGTTATTGTGCTTGTGCGCGTGTGCGTGTGCGTGTGCGTGTGCGCGTGCGTGTGCGTGTGCGTGCGTGTGTATGTGTGTGCGAGAGAGTGTGTGTGTGTGTGTATGTGTGAGTATATGTGTGAGTGCGTGTATGTGAGAGAGAAAGAGGGTGTGTCTGTGTGTGTGTCCATGGGCCCCTTGAATTGTATCCTCGTCCTGGCTTCGTCCTACCTGGAGGTGCGGGGCCTGGAGGCCGCCGACGTGGCGCTGCCGCCCCCCCGCGGCGGGGCGTCGCCGCGAGAGGGCGGCGGGCCGCGCCCCACGTGGAGGAAGCCCGGGGGGCTGCGCGCGGCCGCCGCCGCGCTGGCGGCGGGGGAGTCGTCGGAGGAGGTGCGGGCCCAGATCGAGTGCACGTGAGGGTGACCGTTCGCGCGTGGGGGCTGGGGAGGGGGAGGGGGAGCCCGAACATTGAAGATCATCGAAAGGTCTCCCCACCCAGAGGGAGCCCTGGGGAGGGGGACTCCGCGAAAGGTGTCCCCACTCAGAGCATCGAAACTGGAGGGTCTTCACGTGGGGGGGGGGCTGCGCGCGGCCGCCGCCGCGCTGGCGTCGGGGGAGTCGTCAGAGGAGGTCTGGCGGACTTTCTTCCCGTCTGCGTCGAGGTGGCCTCGCCAACCCCCTGTCGTGTCGTGTCGCCTGGGCAGCCGCATGCCTCCCGAGCAATGAAAGTGCTCTCCTCCTCCTCCTCCTCCTTCTCCTGCTCCTCCTTCTCCCCCTCTTCCTCCTCCTCTTCCTACAGCAGCTGGTTTCAAAGTCTGCGGAGTTGTCGCTCCAAGGTCCTCCTCGGATCCACTGCACGTCCTTACATTGAACGAAGTCGTCCTGGCGGATGGGTAAACGATTGGCCATGCATCCTCCCCTCCTCCCCCTCCTCCTCCTCCTCCTCCTCCTCCTCCTCCTCCTGATTCCTGGTCAACTACACGATAGAGTGACCTTTCGCTGGAGTGACCTTAGGCGCGGGCCCACTGGAGTCCCCCGATCGCCGAGCGCGAGGCGGCAGTGGCGTCTTGCGCGCTTGTTGTTTCCCAACCATCCTGTGGTGTTGGGTCCTCGTTTTGAAGAGACGGTGGCCCGCGTCTCCTCTCCTCCTCTCCTCCTCCGCCTCCTCTCCCCTCCTAGCATCCTCATCGTCATCATCATCATCATCATCGTCATCATCATCATTCCCAACCATCCTGTGGTGTTGGGTCCTCGTTTTGAAGAGACAGCGCCCCGCGTTCACTCCTCCTCCCGCTGCCCCCTCCCTCCTGCCATCATCATCATCATCATCATCATCACCATCATCATCATCATCATCATCATCATCATCATCATCATCATCATCATCATCATCATCATCATCATCATCATCATCATCATCATCATCATCATCATCATCATCATCATCATCATCATCATCATCATCATCATCATCACCATCATGGACCATCATGACGATCATAGGGAGCTCCAGCGAAGGCCCCAGTGGCTGCGCTCCCATGCGCCCACCGCACAGATTTCGGCACCCCCCTCACACGTTTCGTGGCCCCATAGGGAGCTCCACCGAAGGCCCCAGTGGCTGCGCTCCCATGCGCCCACCGCACCGATTTCGGCACACCCCTCACACGCTTCGTGGCCCCATAGGGAGCTCCAGCGAAGGCCCCAGTGGCTGCGCTCCCATGCACCCACCGCACAGATTTCGGCACACCCCTCATACGCTTCGTGGCCCCATAGGGAGCCCCAGCGAAGGCCCCAGTGGCTGCGCTCCCATGCGCCCACCGCACAGATTTCTGCACACCCCTCACACGCTTCGTGGCCCCATAGGGAGCTCCACCGAAGGCCCCAGTGGCTGCGCTCCCATGCGCCCACCGCACCCATTTCGGCACACCCATCACACGTTTCGTGGTCCCATGGGGAGCTCCAGCGAAGGCCCCAGTGGCTGCGCTCCCATGCGCCCACCGCACCCATTTCGGCACACCCCTCACACGTTTCGTGGCCCCATAGGGAGCTCCACCGAAGGCCCCAGTGGCTGCGCCCCATGCGCCCACCGCACCCATTTCGGCACACCCCTCACACGCTTCGTGGCCCATAGGGAGCTCCAGCAGGCCCCAGTGGCTGCGCTCCCATGCGCCCACCGCGCCCATTTCGGCACACCCCTCATACGCTTCGTGGCCCCATAGGGAGCTCCAGCGAAGGCCCCAGTGGCTGCGCTCCCATGCGCCCCCGCACAGATTTCGGCACACCCCTCACACGTTTCGTGGCCCCATAGGGAGCTCCACCGAAGGCCCCAGTGGCTGCGCTCCCATGCGCCCACCGCACCCATTTCGGCACACCCCTCACACGTTTCGTGGCCCCATAGGGAGCTCCAGCGAAGGCCCCAGTGGCTGCGCTCCCATGCGCCCACCGCACCCATTTCGGCACACCCCTCACACGTTTCGTGGCCCCATAGGGAGCTCCAGCGAAGGCCCCAGTGGCTGCGCTCCCATGCGCCCACCGCACCCATTTCTGCACACCCCTCACACGTTTCGTGGCCCCATAGGGAGCTCCAGCGAAGGCCCCAGTGGCTGCGCTCCCATGCGCCCACCGCACAGATTTCGGCACACCCCTCACACGTTTCGTGGCCCCATAGGGAGCTCCACCGAAGGCCCCAGTGGCTGCGCCCCCATGCGCCCACCGCACCCATTTCTGCACACCCCTCACACGCTTCGTGGCCCCATAGGGAGCTCCAGCGAAGGCCCCAGTGGCTGCGCTCCCATGCGCCCGCCGCACAGATTTCGGCACACCCCTCATACGGTTCGTGGCCCCATAGGGAGCGGCATCGAAGAAGATACTCACAATTGCGGTACTCGCAACTGCATCTGGTTGGGTCCTTCGCCAGGATCATTGGGCTTCCCGCGGCCCCCAAATCCGGCGCACCAGAGGTCACTCTTACCCGCCCAGTGTTAAATTATCCCAACCTACTGTAGTCTTGATCACTTGAAGGAATTCGAGCACCGAGAAGGCATCGAAACTGAAGGGTTTTCACGTGTGGGGCCCTGGGAGGCGAGACTCGTTCGGCATTTCGCCAGCGTGTCGGACGGATACTGTTTCAATACTTCCTGGGTGTTCGAAATAGCTGGTAGCATGTGGTCATTAAGCACGATGGAAGCAACATAAGCCAAGGATGTCGTCGTCATGGTGGTCTTCGTTGTAGGCTTCGCCGTCGCGGTCGCCGTAGATTCGTCCTCGTAGTTCTTGTCGTCCTCGACATCGTCGTTGTCGTCGTCGCCCTCATCGTCCTCGTCGTCGTCATCGTCGTCGTCGTCCTCGTCGTCCTCGTCGTCGTCCTCATCACCGCCGCCGTCCTTGTCGTCCTACGGCGTGGCTCCGAGCCCAGAGGCTGGGCCTCCCAGATGGGGTCCGAGCAGTTGGGGTCGGAGGATCGCCTTCTCGATGCGGAACCTGTTGTTCTCCGCGCAGAAGGCGCCGATGCATCGCCGACATCGCCGATGCATCGCCGATATCACCGGTGCATCGGCGATGCGGCGCGATCCTGTGACCCCGTCTACGGACTCCATTTGGAATGCCTCTACAGACCCTCTCGGGTCATGAGGGAATCACGGCGGATGAATGTTTGCTATCTTGGGCCTCTGGAGGCCCCCTCAGGGTCCACTTCAATTCGTTCGATCCGACTCGATACCCAATATGACCGATCCGATCCGATTTTGCGATCCGTTGCGGCCCGATGCTTGCATGGCGTTGCTGTGCATCCTGGCGCAGTCGATCCGATTCGACTTGGACTCCGTGCCGATGCAGCCCGATCCGACGCAAATTCCGATGCGATCGGATACGTATATATCTCGATTTGATGCTGACTGATCCTGTACCCTCGGGTCATCAAAAAACAACAAAAATTAGCCTGGCGAAGGACCCAACCATATGCAGTTGTGAGTAATGCTGGTGTGAGTACCGTCTTCGGTGGATCTCCTTATGGGGCCACGAAACGTGTGAGGGGTGTGCCGAAATGGGTGTGGGGGCGGCATGCGAACGTTGCCACTGGGGCCTTCGGTGGAGCTCCTTATGGGGCCACGAAACGTGTGAGGGGTGCACCGAAGTTGGTGCGGGGGCGGCATGCGGACGCAGCCACTGGGGCCTTCGGTGGAGCTCCCTGTGGGGCCACGAAACGTGTGAGGGGTGTGCCGAAATTGGTGTGGGGGCGGCATGCGAACGCAGCCACTGGGGCCTCCGGTGGAGCTCCCTATGGTGCCACGAAACGTGTGAGGGGTGTGCCGAAATTGGTGTGGGGGCGCATGCGAACCCAGTCACTGGGGCCTTCAATGGAAATCCCCATGGGGCCACGAAACGTGTGAGGGATGTGCCGAAATGGGTGTTGGGGAGGCATACGAACCAGGCCACTGGGGCCTTCGGTGGAGCTCCCTATGGGGCCACGAAACGTGTGAGGGGTGTGCCGAAATGGGTGGTGGGGAGGCATGCGGACCCTGCCACTGGGGCCTTCGGTGGAGCTCCCTATGGGCCCGAACCCTGCATTGGGGCCTTCGGTGGAGCTCCCTATGGGGCCACGAAACGTGTTAGGGGTGTGCCGAAATGGGTGGTGGGGAG